TAAATACATTTTCTAATTTTCATGAAAATTAGCATGAATCTGGAGGTGTGCTGCTTTAAGGTATAGATCAACATTATATTTTATTTGATAAATGTTACATGTATACTAAGGGATAATACTTACATTTAGGGCTGAAGTAGACTGCAGACAGATGTTTCAATCTGGACAGCTTGCTGTGGCGATGGGCCGAGTGAAGTCACCTGATGGTCTGCGGGTGGTCAACTTTACTAAAGATGCTGTTATCCCACAACCTTCACTGGTGTTGGACTTCTTGAACAGCCAATGGATACCAGGAGAGGTTGATAGATCCTGCTGCCATATAATGTAAGAATCTTGGGTGTTGTTCTATTTAAAATCCTCAAAATCACATATTGTCACATTTTTGTCCGGGTTGCACATATGCATGGTGAATGAAGGGCAGATGGCGGGTGGGCAGGGAAAAAAATAACAGTTTTCTCAGCAACTACTTATCACAGCCTCTTGATATTTAGCATACAGCATTGTCACATGGTCCCATACTGTGGGATTCGATTTCAGGTCTGTCACTCATCCACTTTCTGTTTACCCACTTAGTTAAATTTTCAACATTAATAGTGAATTGTAGGAAATTTTCGTAACAGTTTTCTCAGCAACTACTTATCACAACCTCTTGATATTTAGCATACAGCATTGTCACATGGTCTCATACTGTGGGATTCGATTTCAGGTCTGTCACTCATCCACTTCCTGTTTACCCACTTAGTTAAACTTTCAACATTAATGGTAGGAAATTTCGTAACAGTTTGCTCAGCAGCCTTTGATATTTGGTATACAGTATCAACACGTGGTCCCATACGGTGGGATTTCATTTCAGGTCTGTCGCTCTTCTACTTTCTGTTTACCGACTTAGTTAAATTTTTAACATTAATGTTCAATGATTGGAAATTTTTGTAACAGTTTTCTCAGCAACTACTTATCACAGCCTCTTGATATTTAGCATACAGCATTGTCACATGGTCCCATACTGTGGGATTCGATTTCAGGTCTGTCACTCATCCACTTCCTGTTTACTGACTTAGTTAAATTTTCAACATAATGGTGAATGGTAGGAAATTTTCATAACAGTTTGCTCAGCAGCCTCTTGATATTTGGTATACAGTATCAACACGTGGTCCCATACCGTGGGATTTCATTTCAGGTCTGTCGCTCTTCCACTTCCTGTTTACCGACTTAGTTAAATTTTCGACATTAATGGTCAATGGTAGGAAATTTTTGTAACAGTTTTCTCAGCAACTACTTATCACAGCCTCTTGATATTTAGCATACAGCATTGTCACATAGTCCCATACTGTGGGATTCGATTTCAGGTCTGTCACTCATCACCTTCCTGTTTACCGACTTAGTTAAATTTTCAACATTAATGGTCAATGATAGGAAATTTTCATAACAGTTTTCTCAGCAACTACTTATCACAGCCTCTTGATATTTAGCATACAGCATTGTCACATGGTCCCATACTGTGGGATTCGATTTCAGGTCTGTCACTCATCACCTTCCTGTTTACCGACTTAGTTAAATTTTCAACATTAATGGTCAATGATAGGAAATTTTCATAACAGTTTTCTCAGCAACTACTTATTACAGCCTCTTGATATTTAGCATACAGCATTGTCACATGGTCCCATACTGTGGGATTCGATTTCAGGTCTGTCACTCATCACCTTCCTGTTTACCGACTTAGTTAAATTTTCGACATTAAGGGTGAATGGTAAGAAATTTTCGTAACAGTTTTCTCATCAACTACTTATCACAGCCTCTTGATATTTAGCATACAGCATTGTCACATGGTCCCATAATGTGGGATTCGATTTCAGGTCCGTCTCCCTTCCACTTCATGTTTACCGACCGTTAATTTTTTAACATTAATGGTAATTGATAGGAAATTTTCGTAACAGTGTTCTTAGCAACTACTTATCACATCCTCTTGATATTTGGCATACAGCATTGTCACATGGTCCCATACTGTGGGATTCGATTTCAGGTCAGCTCATCACCTTCCTGTTTACCGACTTAGTTAAATTTTCAACATTAATGGTCAATGATAGGAAATTTTCATAACAGTTTTCTCAGCAACTACTTATCACAGCCTCTTGATATTTAGCATACAGCATTGTCACATGGTCCCATACTGTGGGATTCGATTTCAGGTCTGTCACTCATCACCTTCTTGTTTACCGACTTAGTTAAATTTTCAACATTAATGGTGAATGATAGGAAATTTTCATAACAGTTTTCTCAGCAACTACGTATCACAGTCTCTTGATATTTAGCATACAGCATTGTCACATGGTCCCGTACTGTAGGATTCGATTTCAGGTCTGTCTCTCTTCCACTTCCTGTTTACCGACTGAGTTAAATTTTCAACATAATGGTGAATGGTAGGAAACTTTTGTAACTGTTTTTTTCAGCAGCCTCTTGATATTTGGTATACAGTAGCAACACGTGGTCCCATATGGTGGGATTTCATTTCAGGTCTGTCTCTCATCCACTTCATGTTTACCGACTTAGTTAAATTTTCAACATTAATGGTCAATGATAGGAAATTTTCATAACAGTTTTCTCAGCAACTACTTATCACAGTCTCTTGATATTTAGCATACAGCATTGTCACATGGTCCCGTACTGTAGGATTCGATTTCAGGTCTGTCTCTCTTCCACTTCCTGTTTACCGACTTAGTTAAATTTTCAACATTAATGGTCAATGATAGGAAATTTTCGTAACAGTTTTCTCAGCAACTACTTATCACAGTCTCTTGATATTTAGCATACAGCATTGTCACATGGTCCCGTACTGTAGGATTCGATTTCAGGTCTGTCTCTCTTCCACTTCCTGTTTACCGACTTAGTTAAATTTTCAACATAATGGTGAATGGTAGGAAATTTTTGTAACTGTTTTTTTCAGCAGCCTCTTGATATTTGGTATACAGTAGCAACACGTGGTCCCATATGGTGGGATTTCATTTCAGGTCTGTCTCTCATCCACTTCATGTTTACCGACTTAGTTAAATTTTCAACATTAATGGTCAATGATAGGAAATTTTCGTAACAGTTTTCTCAGCAACTACTTATCACAGCCTCTTGATATTTAGCATACAGCATTGTCACATGGTCCCATACTGTGGGATTCGATTTCAGGTCTGTCTCTCTTCCACTTCCTGTTTACCGACTTAGTTAAATTTTCAACATTAATGGTCAATGATAGGAAATTTTCGTAACAGTTTTCTCAGCAACTACTTATCACAGTCTCTTGATATTTAGCATACAACATTTATTAGTGGGATTTGATTTCAGGTCTGTTGCTCATCCATTTTTGACATTATTTGTCAATCATAGGTAATTTTCTTAACAGTTTAAATCTGTTGCATTACATCCGTATACATTTTATTGGTTTAATGCTTATTGTTTCTGACTTCCTTTTCTTTGATTGTTGCCTGACTGTTGTATTTGATGAAAAAGCAAAATTTTCAGTCATTCTACGTACAGCTTTTGCATTACTTTTTTTTGAAATAGCTGACTGGCCTAATATTACTCCATTTATGTTTCTTCTGTACTGTAGGGCTGTTGGGTTGGTGTTTAATCCGTTAAATTTTCCTCGATGCTGGCAAAAATTATTTTCAATGGCATCCGAGTTGACCATTGCAGGTACAATTGAGGTACCAGGATGACTTTCAATGACATAATTACATAATTCAAGAAATCCTATAATAGATGATTGCAAGTCTTCGTGACATTGTGAGGACATAATTGATTTTTGAGAATCTGTTTGAGAAGACCAGTTTAAAAACCACTGTTGCACTGCATTCAATTTAGAAATACGAATATCGTTTTTCTCATTAATAGTTCTTCTGTCACGAAATATATCAATAGTGACAGCTGTGTTTTGGAGTAGCTCTATTGCCCCATCCAGTACAGTTCCTTTTGATCCTATATGTTGCTGGTAGGACTCCATTAAATTTAACATGTCATAGTTAAGTACTTCTTCTGCAAGTTTGTTCCTCATTTTTTCTGACTGGTTTGGAAAAATATGTTCATTAGTGAGAGTTCTATGAATTTGAATTGGATTAGTTCTGTCCCATTTATAAGCATCAATCCACATTTTCCACATGATTTCCTTTCCAGAAGGTAATTTTAGTAAGCGAGTGGATTTTTCATGTGTACCACTTTTTAACAAATTATTCCTTATCTTTTTGAATGTGTGGGAAGGGTCCATCATGAAAATTATTTCTTTTGTTGGGTCACATGGCATAGGGGCTTTCATCCTTTTTTGAATATTTGTATCTTCTGGAAAATGTAGAGACATAAATGACCTATTGCTGACTGCGATATCCATGCATATGTATTTACAGTTAAATCCATGTAGAGACAGTAATTTTACCGAATCCCAAACATGCATGTATATTTCACATGCGTTCACTTGATTGGAAATAAAGTGAGCAAACGGAAATCTAAAACCAGATATACCCTGAAACAAAAATTGCAGTACATGCGTACCTAATTTCTTTGACTTTTTCCCGTCACGAAGTGCTGACAAATTTGCACTTTCTTGCCCCATGTCGACAAATCCCACCATTTCAATATTTTGACCACATTTCTGGATCTCTAATTTTTGTTGAATGGACATCTCATCCAGAAGAATTCCCCCTATTCTACCGCTTTCTGGAATATTCATTCTAATTGCTTCCAAGTCCATCCATCGAAATGTTTCGGTTGAAAGTCCAGGTGTATGCTTTATACTATTTTTATATAATAGTATCATGGAAGGTGATGGTAACAGCAAAAGTCCTGACTGCCTTATTTGTATGTAGCTGAGGGGACTTCTTGTATACCAGTTCAAGCACTCATTCATTATTTGTCTGTCCCATCTGTTTTGTTTTGCATTTTCTTTATTACTGTTTTGAATTTGTGACATAATTAATGATAGCATAGCATCTGAGGCTGATGGCATAAGCTCTTTAACTTTTTCAAGATCACTTTTTTCTGGTTTGGATTTTACATAAGACACTTTTTGCCTTTTACATGTTACACAATGTTGATGTTTCATAAATTGAAAAGACACGGTTTGTTTGCAAAATTTAGAGCGTACAATTTGTTTATTCAATGAATTTGTATTAATTGTTTCTGTCATGTAATTTTCCTTCAAGTCTATTTTTTGGTTTTCTAGGTCTGAACCTTCACATAGCAGAATTGCCTTGACTGCTGAGCAAACATTTTCAATTCCCACTTTACAACAATTATAGTGTGGCGATATGAGAAGCTGATTCAGATCAATGCTGGATCCTCTTATATGAACGGAAAATTTGTTGCTTTCAAAAATAACAATCTTACATATTTGAGAATTGTTGACTGACATGTCAGTTTCATACATTACCTCAACACTAGAGTTGGTACAATTTTTTACAATGAATCCTGGTGGTAAAGAAGATACAACAGTTGCTGTATTGAATTCACTGGCTACCATTTTTGATGTTTCCTTTTTCCAGACAAGTGGGTAATGGGCCTGTTTCTTTCCTGCAAACATCTTCCTCTTTGGTTTGACTCTGAAAACCTTTTGTATTATTGACCCAAGTTGGTCACTGGTTATGTTATGTTGTCCATCTATGGAATCTAGGAGGACTTCCATTTTATAAGTGTCCATAATGTTCTGAACACATATGCTCCCATCACAGTCGTCAGACAAATGTCGAATAAGCCTGTGGAATACAAAAAAAAAGTCAGTTATACTGTCACAACTAAATAATCATTTCCATCCCTCACCTATAAAACCCCTATAAAGCTACCAGAGTCTTAGTACTATGAACATAGGTGGATACTACATATTTTAGCAAAATACTTTAAAGTATTTTAATGTGCAAAAAATCAACATTTCTTAAGATGATACTTTATCCCCCTACCCTTCCTAACTTTTATAATGAACTAGTCCAACTATCAATTTGGACAGAATCAAAAGCAGTTAAAAGGGGTGCTTGCCTAAGAAAAGATAACAACTGATTGAAAGACAGTGCAGATTATCAAATTGGTGGCTGATGTTTTGCCATGACACTGCACACATATAGGGCTTTGACATTGTGTACATATATGCTTTATTGAAACTATTCACATATAGGGACAATGGACACTGTGCACATATAGGGCCGCACATAATTATTCGGCTGATTTACACTGTGCACATAATTGTTTGGCTAATTGACAATATACACATACATGTATTGAGATTGTCACACTGTTAAAAAATTGGATGATGGTGAAGTTAGGTTCTGCAGAATCCAGTTGATAAATTATGAAGTAGCAGACATAGATTTAGGTTTAAAGCAGCACGCCTCCAGATTCATGTTAATTTTCATGAAAATTTTGGAAATGTATTTAGAAGTAAAATATTGTGAGATGAACAAATGAAGCAATTTACATATTGCAATCGGCACTTGCAATCCATGAAAATTACCTAAAAGTAGTCATCATATGCAAAAACAGCCCTTACTGGGTTACTAACGCAGTAGAAATATGGTGATAAAATACTGCAAAAGCAGTCTTAAACTGCATATAACAGATCACTTGGATCTTGAATGTTTTTTTTTTCTTAAATTTTAGTACAGTTTTCTCAATATTGATTTTTAAAAATATTTTGGCTCATCTTTATCAGCTTTAAGATGACATTATTGAATTGAGTATTTTTTAGTTGATATTTTATTTACATGAAACAATGACTTTTTCACGAAAGCGATGGTATTTTAGGAAATAATATATATATGTAAAAGTATGATGCTCCATTTAAATGAAAACCTTGCTGCTTTATACAAGTATACTGTTATTATTCAGCATTTCTTTTTATTTTCAGATTTAACAGAAATGTGAATGAAGTAGAACTTGATGGTACAATATTGTCAGCGCAGCCATTAGACTCTGATATTGATTTTGATGATGACACCACTGAGCTATTGGCAGGTCTTGAAATTGAAAGTTTAATTTCGGAATCACAAAATACTGTACAACAACCAAATTTGTGTCTTCCAGAGGATGTCAAAATTGAGGAAAAACTGATATCATTGAAGTTTCAAGACCCTTTGAGAGAAAATCAGACTGTTTACAATGATTTCATTCAATATTTACTTGATAACAATAAAACAACTTCAAGAGTTTTGTGCAACACAGTACTTTCATCTTTTGGAAACGTTCAATGAAACTGAGACAGTAAAACACAAAAGTCACAGACTGCATTTTTCAAAGCCTTTCAGTCACATCTAACATCTGGTGTATATAAATCTTTTATAACGAATTTAATGCCAGAGTATGTTCATGTTGATGTCATTTTTCAGTAAGGTTATGATATAATGTCTTTTTAAGAAAAAGAAATAACAAATAAAGCAGCTGAAAACCTACCAGAGCAAGATTTCTCTCAAACATGTTCAAAAAGACAGTTTGACAATGACATGACTGATACTGCTAAAGGAAAAGTTAAATATATTGGAGGATACATAGTAGCTAAACATCGATATCGAACAAATTCAATAGTTCAAAAAAATGCTTTTAAATCAGAAGTATCCAAAATTGAACAGTATGAGTTGGCAAAAAGAACATTGCAAGTTTTACATATATTGATGTGTTCTGAGACATCTACTTCTGAATATCCTGAGAGTTTAAAGGAAACTGCAAGAAAACAAAATATTAATAGAGGTCTTACAAATATAACTGACAATGCTTATAAGTTTTTTGAAGATCTAATCAGTACTATCTTATCTCATCTGACAGTAGATAATCTCAATACGTTTGGTGCAGATCTCCACAAGCATGTCACAGTTTCTGTGAACAAAAGTTCTTATTTGCACCACTGTTTTCTTCAGGTTATATCAAATGCTTCAGTTACAGAAGAGGTTTCCTTTGACAGCCCAGATGTTGAGAACAATATTGGATGTAATGTCAGTTCTTGTTTACATGACCTTACTTATAATGCTGAAGTTCTAAACAATTTTTTGGGGGGATGTTCTGTCAATGGCCTGTTCAGTTTTATTTAAACAGTTTTCTAAAGACGTAGTGAACTCATTTAAGATAACAAAAAAAATGGAGCACCGCAAGCAGGTTCATGTTTCAACCTCGAAATCTAAAAAGGGAAAAAAAGCCGCATCTAATTCAAATGATTCCGTTCCGTCAACATCAGGAATTCAGGACCAAATTCCATCAACATCAGGAATTCAGAATCAAGTTCAATCAACAGCAACTGTAATCAATACTGCTGAACAGTCCAGCCCTATGATATCAGAGAGAACAGCATCTTCTGATGAAGACGACACGTTTTGTCTAAAGTGTAATAAGTTATATGTTAATGGAGCAGACTGGATTTGTTGTGACAGTTGTAATGAGTGGTTTGATAGAAAATGTGCAGGCTTATCAAATGCTTTAAAATGGAAGAAGTTTTCCAAAAAGGGTGTCAGTTATTTCTGTATGCACTGTCAGTGATTAAAATTTATTTTGATAAAGGAGAGAAATGTTATTGCAAAAAATAATATTGGAAACTAGAAACAATATTTTACTAAATATATAGTAATCTTTTATATTGTCCTGGTCTTTTGTCAATGCTAAATGTTTCTTATTTCTTTAAATTGGTTAAGAAATAGCTGAAGTTTTTATTTTTTGTGTCAGAATATATATACATTTCATTCTTTATAAGACAGTGTTAGAGAGCTATTTTTATTAACTGTGAATAGTTTTGTTAATCAGCATTATATAAACATGAGAACACTTTCTGGCAAAGTTACATACAAAATTTTCAATATTATATTTGCATAATTATATCAGTTTTGGAATGCAAAGTAAAGATTCAGTTAAAACTTCAAAGTCTAAGAATTCTTAAGTTGAAGTAAGTTTGGTTAACCCTTTACTCCATAAATATGTGTGTCTTTCTGTCAATCTTTATTTCTGATCAATAACTGGGGAACTGTGGTTTATGTAAACATCTTAACTCAGGTCAGAAATTTATGGCCATCCCTCTTGTCCGAATTATATGGAAATACATGACTAAATTTGTACATGTGCACACCAAAGTGTGAAATTTTGTATGAAATTAGTTTTGAAGCTTTTCTTTTTAAAATAAAAATGTTTTCTCATAGCTTTTATTTTTGGTGTAAGTAGGTTTTATGTTATACACTTTGTTTACAAGTTAAATATTATTCTTACTAGTATTGTGTATCATGTAATTGAATCTGGGGTTAAAAAGTCCCAAAACACAAATTTTATGTATCTCTGTTGCACCTTTTCAGTAGGATTGCGATGTATATAATTTTCTGCTCTTTTTAACATTGTACCAGTTATGATATGTTTTCACATTTCATGTAACATGCTTTAACCAGTAATAGCATTGGTAGTTGACAATATGTTAGTAAATTTGTCTTATGGTAATTGGATTTTGCTGAATTTAAAAGTTATGATTAAGATTCTGATAAGAAACGAGGATTTGTTAGACTTGTTTAATACATGCATTATGAAAAGACACTGCTTTTAAAGTTCAATATTATTCTACCTATTGATAAGCTGAATGACTATAAAGGCTGACCATAAAGTTTGAAAGTGTCATTGTACATGATTATTTTTATATAAGAAAACATTTTCAAGGTTTATTTTATATAAATATCATCCTTACAGACTTTGATAAGATAACAGTCCTACTTTTGTTTGAAGAACTAAAAAGCAATAAAATGTAAAGAAATGCACATTATGCATATGCTGTGTAGAGCAAATGGATTGTAGTATTACCTTTACCAAGTGTACCCTTAATAAACTTATATTTGTATAGTTATTTTTGTTTTGGTTTGAATAACTTTATCCTCACACCGACATATTTATAAGTATTACAGACTTTACAGCTTTGCCAGTTAATAAAGCCCCCAGGTACCCATCCATGCATGATATTACCACCAGAGGGCACCTGGATAGAACCGTGGACCTTACAATTGTTGCATAGCTTCCTCACATGAAGAACTCAGCACTAAGTTAGGCTTTGACCAGAAACTAGTAGGCGAACATAAGTAGACAAAGTGTCTTTCAACAAAACATTGTGCACCGGGGCCCCTTTAGGGCCTCTGTGCTTTGGTATATACAGAAATTATTTTAGTTGGATTGTGTAGGAAGCTATTAGCTTATAGACATACTTTCGAATCCATTCCTGGAATCAACCAGTGATGAGCAATGAGTGTAAAGTTTCTTGCTCAAGGAAACAACAACTTGCACATGACGGGATTTGAACCCATTTGGCTAGCGATTATTGACGTGTTAACCACTCAAACCATGCCGTCACTCATGGGGCCTCCTTTGCCATAATGTAGCAAAATTCTACAAATACAAGCAACTGCATACATTCTTTGGAAAGTGGATACATTTTTAATTAAAATTTGGCCCAAGTTCAGCAATACAGAAGTATACTGTGTACACCTACAATTTCACAAAAAGTGGCTTTACTGTCAATACTGAGACCCTAATATGCACGTTTTCAGGTTTATCAAGTATCCATCTATAAAATTAATTGATTTGATACTATTCTGGCGGTAGTGTAATTCCCAAGTAATTATAAGACAATAAAATAATATGTATTGTATAGATCAGTTCTATTCTGTTCTACAAACTTTTTGGCGTCATTTTTTACAGAAAATCAAGTATATCATTGTAATTTTACAACAAATATATATACATCATACAGTAATATTACCATGTTACTAAGGCCATGGTCAATCAAGACGTAGATGTAGGCGTTCTCAAAAAAAAACAACTGGATTTTTTACAGTTTGAATTTGGCGCTAGCGTGACTTTGTTGACACGAAAGGTGAAGGTCATTTTTAAAAAAAATTAACTTGAATTTAGATAACATATTTACCTGATAATGCACATAATAAATTCATTAAGATAGAATTATATATACTTTCAGAAGGAATAACGGGAAATAATTAATTAAAGATTTTTTACCTGTTTTATTATTGACCAATCGTATAACACTATTTGTTCGCCTCATTCTCCTGTCACTTCAAAATCAAAATGGCGGACTTTGCTCAACCAGCGCCTTCACGACCGATATTTTCAAAAGAATTACGTACATACATGGCTTTTGTTCAGTTGTGACTTCGCAGATCGATAGAAAAAGACTTTGTTTATGGAACGTATGTGGAAATTTTAGCCGTTTTTTGTTTATTTCGTAGGAATCGACCAGAAATCGTGTTTGTATACATGAACTGTATGGACGTCGAAAACGACATGGATTGAAAATATTGACATTTTGTGAAACTTTTACTCATTTCTTTGCTATTTGAGGGATTTTAATGAAATAAAAAGCGTTAACGCTTGGATTGATGCTTTCACTTGGCGACCACAAAGAGATAACCGCGATCTGGTCGTTTCTTGCAGCAGTGTTCTTGTTTGTTCCGCATGATGCTTTATTCCCGTTGGGGGCCTTATATCTTTATATACATATATAGGCCGATTTTGAAAAATATTTGATTATGTGACTAGCGCCTGTGAATTATGGTAAGTATCTTATGACGTTTGTACCCAATAAGTTAATTAAATCATACTGAATTGAGATGTTAACAGAATAACACAAAAATAAAGAATGCGCTAAGGTAAATTTACTAAATTATTTTTTACAAAGTTTATCGGTTGAAAACGAAAGTACAGACTACAGTGAACTCGACAGTTCCGGGTCAGTAACGAAATTACCGAAGCGTGACTCTTTAAAACGAAAGTTGAGAGAAACTAAACTGCATAAATTGTGCAACAAATACATTCTCCTTACTATGATATAATTCAACAATTCTAATAATTTGGTAAACTTGTTTTTCAGAGTCTGCATCTGCCCGCTGTATATTTGACAGTTTCGGGTCGCACTTGCCATTTCCGGGTCACGTGATAAAATGTTTACATTTGTCTTCGGGGGGCATCTCAAACGATGTAATATTCAACAAAACAGCTGTCATATAAACAACACTTTTATTGAGCATTTATTTGTTCAATATTAAAAATAAAATGTAAATGAAAGAGGTAGAATATATCACAGGCAAAGAAAGAACAACAATCACCTGCAATTACTTATTGCATATAAAAACATAAAATATTGCATATATAAACATGGAAAGAAAAAAAAGACTGGGGATTTGGATTTGGGGACCTTTCTGTTGAAAATGTGACAGAGTTAAATCGTATACATATACATGCACAGTGCGTTAACTGGAGTGCAGATATTAGTTACCCGCACTCCAGAGCATGCCCATTGATTGGTTCATTTTGGATCGTTTATCGGCTGAAATAAAAAAAGTTATACAGTGCTATACTATTTTTTCGACTAAAAGCTGTCACATTCTTTTTACAAATGATGCACTTTGCACCACAGAAGTAATAACTATATTATTTATTATAATCCAATTAAAGTAAATACACAGCTGAGAAAAAGAGT